CAAAACATGTGGTTTGTGCCAGGCAGACATGATTGCCAGTATTTTTTCATTATTGCAAGAAATTCCATTGACTCATTCACAAGTCAAAAATGTGTTTTATGTGAAAGAAACATGCAATATTTACATCTAACATAATAGAAAAATAGTCAACCAAGTGCAATGATGTCCTCCAAAATAATATTTGCCACTTTGATTGCAGTAAAAAAAAAAAAAATTGGGCATTGGGGGGGCACATGTCCCCCTCAATGTATATGGTGACTACGGCCCTGTCATGCATGCATAATTAGGCCTCAGTTGTTTGGGTGCGCAAAGGTGAAGTGCACTGGTCTTGTCATAAAAAGTTTGATGAAGTGTCAACTGGACAATATGGAGATATTTGCATCTTGAAAGCCGGACTACAAATGTGGATAGACAGGGAGAAACACACGCAAGACTAAGACGTGGTAAGATATGATATTCCTCACTATATGAAGTGACTGATAACAAGATCTGTATAATGGATTGTAAAGAAATTCGTCAGGATTTTATTTGGTAGACACTTGATCTGTATTTATAGCGTGATGGGATGGCAGCACAATGATTTAAGTTTAAGTTTTAAGTTTAAGTTTATTTCCTTTATTAATCCCCCTGAGGGGAAATTCAATGTTTTCACTCTTGCTTGTCAATTACACACAGGTCCGAAAGACACACACATGCACAAACAGGACCTATACATGCACAAATTGGAGAGATGTCAGAATGTGTGTGGTATCACTGGAAAGCTCTAGTCCTGTACTTTCATGTGATATGCGTGGAGTTTCTGTGCGACCCTGCATTCGCGAGTAATCCATCCAAGAGTAATGTGTGTGCAAAGCTGTATGAAAGCTCTGTTAGACATAATTTTAGTGTAACTTTATCCTTTTTTTTCGCTGTGAAAACATTCGGAAAGCTACGATTCCGCTGTTTAACATGATATGCATGGCTTCTCGCTATGATGCACGGTCGCGGAGAAAAACCATAGAGAAGAACAGGTGTGAATTTGGACGCACTATGCATCGTTCGGGCCCATAGGGTTAAATATAAATGGAAAAAATACAAATTAAAACATGATTGGATGTGCAAATATACGAAGTGAACTGTTAGGACTTCCCACAGCTCCTCTTACCTCTTTGTTGTCTCTCTGACACAGATGTTCTTGAGCCTGTTGCACTGATTCTGGATGATCTCCTTGGCCTGCTGCTGCTGCATTTTCCCCAAAAAACGGGACAAATTGTGTCCCAGGAGAGACTTTTTTTTTCCTGGGACAGCTGATGAAAAAAGAGAACAATTCTGAGAAAAACGGGACGGGTGGCAACTCTAGCGCATGTCCAGCTTGACCTTCTCCGCAAAAGGTAATTAATTTAGCAATATGATGTGGAGAGATAGTTTTGTTTTAACTGGTGACCAAACAAATCCACCAGCTAAGTTAATTACTTCATATTATATCAGCATTTGCCTGTGTTGGTGACGGGAGTTGGCTAAACTAGCTAACGTTTGTGTTAATAACTAGTCTAACCTTGATATTAGTCTCCCGGTGATTTAAATTACTCTGCGGCCAAGGCATTAACATATTAACTTCAGTCATGATATTCTACGGTAAATGATGTGATGTAACATAAAGCTGTATTTGGTTTTGGAAAGCAGTTTGCACATGTTGAGAAACTGACGCGTGCCTCCCCTCCAGCTTGGTCTGCTCTGTGACGTAACATTACATCAGTTTAGACGGGTCGTAACGTTATTTCAAGTGGGATCATATTTGTTTTGGCCTACGGTAAAGTTAACAGCACAGACTCGTGTTTTATCTTGAAGTAAAAAGGGAAGCAGTCCGTGTAAAATTCTGCTCACTGTCGCAGTGCGTGATGTACCGTCAGCCATAGCAGCTGTTGTCTCCAACTTTGTTTTCTCATTTGCGTTAATGTGAAGTCACATGGTAAAAAGAGATATTTGGTCACATTTCTGAGATGTGCTGAGTCACGTTGCTGGAATCCTAAACGTCGTCTGTTTGAGTGGTTACAGTGGACGCAGGTACAGTAACATGAGTCCCAGGCCAAACTTTTGTGATGTGATTTGATTAGTTCATAAGCTGACGTGATTAAACATGAGTAGAACTGATCCCTGCTTGTCATTTCTGCAAATAGCTGATCATTTGTCTGCTGTTTGGTGGCCTGAAACAAACAACACATTATCTTGAACATAAAAGTTGGTCTTGTTGGCTGCTCTGTTGAAAACCATGCATTTGCTGTTATATTTGTGTTTTTGTTATCATGATAACAATATAATATTCTGACAATGAGGAATTATGTGCTGCAGGAACCATGCTGATTAAGGCCAGACTTGGTGATGTCCAAAAATTTGTTAGAATAACAGAGCCAGATCTGAAAGTCTGAAGCACTGGAAGCTTTAAGGTGCTAATAGTAACTGTAATAGTAACTTTTGAGTACAAATGTTACCATCTCTAATCACACTGAGTAAGTTTGAATGTATGCTTTCTTTGCTTAAAAGTTAGTAATAATATAAGTAGTTTTATTTCACACATTAATTTATTGGTTTGTTCAAAAGTAATGTTCCAGATTCATTGAATATGACCAACATGAATTCATAAGTCTGGTTTACACAAGCATTTGTCTTCTCCTGTAACATTTGCAAAGTTTGGTGTGCCAGCTGTGACAGAGGTTGTTAAGGTTGTTGACAGTTCGGGGGATGAGTTGGATGACGATGTATTTGAGGATGTAGTTAAGGATCCCTCAGCTAACCATCAAATATGACACTGGTTTGTCTCAGTTACATTTGTAATTTCTATTACAGTATTTAATGGACATGCTAGTTCCTTGTGGTTAATATTTTCCCTTCCAACTGCTTCTCCTATTACGGTCAGAATCTGTCTCCATGGTACCAAATCCTGAGCAGTCTGAACCACCATCCCTTGATTCGTCTGATTCTCAAGATACAGACATCCTTTCAGAGAGTCCTTCCGGTAAACGGCAGAGGCTGGACACAGAAGCCAAGCACATAAGAATTAACACACAAACACCAAAGCAGAACAGGAATTATTTTTAGGCCACCAAGGCCATAAAAAAGAATATAGTGTTATTTTAATGACCATTTGTTTTTAAGATTTTTTTTAATCCCTATTTGGGATTATTAGGGATGTATTCTCAACATGCTGAATTGTTTTGCTCTTTGTTTGAAGTTGGTGGAATCCATTCTTACCAAGAAACCTGGTGGGGAACACATAATAACTGAATATAATCGAAGCAAGTCCCTGACAGATGAAACCAGAAGGAAATGGTGAACATACTGGCAGCTGACATGACAGAGAAGAATGGGTAATTTGTAAAGAGTTTTTAGTTAGCTCAATGTTGCTTTTAGATTAAATTCAAATCTTTGTTAAAGCCAGTGCATACAACTGAGAAATCTTTACTTTTTTTAATCTTGCAGTACATCACCACCCAGACAGGTGAAAGAAATGTATGCCAGAGGAATTGTGAGCTTATTCCCCTACCTCAGTGATCCATTCTCCAGGACCGGTTATGTAAGTCACACACTATAATGGCTGTGATAATGTTTAATGCTACATTGAAACATTTTGATTTCTACCAGGGCGTATTTTTAAAGGTACTGTTTGATAAAAAAATAAATAAGTGAAATAATTGCTCTGCATACATGAGTCTTTTCAAGTTGCAATTGTGGAACTATGGCTGAGATGGTGTTTTTTTCATCCCACAGTCTTTTTCACAAATGTGTTAGAGGGTGGGGCTAAAGGAAGGACGAGGGAGCAGAGAGGAAGTAGTGGTGGATTCATATTCAAAATGTCACTCTTTTTTTGTTGTGTCCAATATCACTTGGGAGCACCTTGACTTTAAAAGAAATCTCATTAATGGAGTGTCTGTTTTTGTTTTCCTTTCACCCTCCAAGGAGCATTATTATGATGGCGAGAGTGGCACTGGGTACTTGGCCTGGAGGATTAAAACTCTTCAGAGATCCACTGCTAGAGACAGACGATCATCATATGGAGGTAACGCTATAATAATACTGGAAGCTAGGGTTGGGATCCGGATCTGGTTCTTTTTTGGAACTGGGTCCAAAGTTCCGGGTCCATCACATTTGGCGTAACGGTTCCTGCAAACGGTGCCTAGATTGTTAAAGAAAAAAAAAAAAAAAAAAAAGGCAGGCGGCGGGGAGGTCTGCTTCCAGCTAGGGGAGCGGTAGAAACAAACAGCCAATGTGTGTGTGTGTTCTGTTCAGGTGTTGTCACGTAAATAACAGTGCCCAAGCACGAATGCATATAAGTATTTTTTTATTACATTGTTGTGGTTAATTTTAATAGTGTTACTGTAGAAATCAGAGAATCACTTTTTGTTGTTATATGTTCTCAGGGAGATGATACAAGCTCTAAATCTGAAATACACACCACACACAAATGTGTATTTTCATCTAATTGTACTGTGCAACAGTTAGAATAAAGTTTTTGTATTTGTATGATTGCATTTGTGTTTATTATATACTTGTTTAAGTATAGCAAGTATAATTAATATAATGTAGGAATCGGTAAGAGAAATCGGTAAGGAATCGGACCGTTAAGAAGGAATCGGTAAGGAATCAGAATCGTTAAAATCCTAGCGAGTCCCAACCCTACTGGAAGCAGATCTGAAACATTGTTTTTTTTTTTTTTTTGCCTGTACGTTTATGTGGTTGTCAAAATATGGTATTCTCCCATATTGTGTAGCATCATCTGAAGGAGCATCTCATGAAGATGGGCTTGGAGGACCAGCTGCCAGACGAGAGCCCCGGTTTGGTCCAGAGACTGTTCTGAGTGAAGATGAGTATAAGGAAGCCATCGCACTGATTAAACATTCAGCTGATGAGGACACAATCAAGAAGAAGATGAAGTTGACATTTGACTTCCGCCGCAACATGGTCCTTGACCCACAGCAGTCAAGCAACGTACTATCTGTCTTTCCACGTTTCAAAGACGTCAAAGGCTTGGTAATTGTTTTTCATTATTTTGACAGTGTTTTGACAATTTCATAATTATGTAAAAAGTATGTGTGTATTTTAGTGACAGTCAAACAATTAACACAATTCATCTGGCTGTGAAATCTTGAAGTTTCCCATTATCCTCACCCTAGGTGGAACAGGATTTTGTTCTGATGTTTGGGGAGGATGTCTCTGGCAAGTTTCTGGAGAAATGGGCGACCACATTCAAGAAAAAGATCATCCAACAATGCAGAAAGCTTCCATACACCAGTGAGCTTGATGATCTCCTCCTGGCAGCTGATACTCCTTAGGATGGCACTGAAGTGGATGACGACATTGGTAAGTATGACTTTTTCCACATTCCATTGGCTGCACTTGTTATGTGTGCTTCACTATAACCCGTGTTAGTGTTAATTTCTTACTGTGCAGTACACTCATGCCCAGAGTTGGGTATAACGCATTACAAAGTAACGCGTTAGAGTACTTTGATTACTTTTTGCAGTAACGAGTAACCTAACGCATTAGTTTGCTGTTTGAGTAATCAAATACTTGAGTACATTTACTACAAGCCATCAGTTACTTCCGTTACTTTTAGAACGCTGGTCCTTCAGCTCCGAAACGGCAACGACTGTCTTTCGGTTCTAACGGAGATAATGTTAAACCTATCAGTCCGAAAAAAGCCACAAAGCTTGTGGCTAGCTAGGTGGTAGAAGAAATGCTGCCACTGTCGACGGTGTAGTCTAAAACAAGGTGGAGGAGGACTCGCTGACAGACAGGTCAGACTCAGCACTTGCATTATGCCTGGTACACACTACACAACTTTTCTGCCCGTTCTGAAAGTCACTATGTCACATTACACGATGTGGAGTCATAAAATTGTGCCATTACTTGGCCGTC